AGGCCGCGAGCACCCCCGGGATGCGTAGATCCCAATCTTTGTGTGACTCATCGACCTGGTGATTCAACATCGAAACCAGGGTCCGATTAAGCCTCTCCACCATCCCATCTATTTGGGGGTGGTAGGGCGAGGTGCGGACCTTCTCTGTGCCCAGAAGGTTGCAGACCTCCTTCAGCAGGCTGGCAGAATTTTTTTGCCCTTGATCAGTAAAGAGGCGCTCTGGGGCGCCCTTGTCTAGCACGTACCCTTGCAGGAACGCCTCGGCAATACTGACGGCCGTCTAATTTGGGAGCGGCCAAGCAACAGGCCACCACGAGAAATATTCAACTCCCACAAGCAATTTTTTGTTCCCCTGGGCCGTACTGGGGAAAGGACCCAATATACCAAGAGCCACCAGCTCATTAATGCGGGACACTTTAATCTACTGCAAGGGCAGGCAGAATTTAACAGGCGGCGGCTTCCGGCGTGCACACTGCACACAACCCTTGATAATATTAGCGACGTCCGCCGCCATGCCAAGCCAAAAATAATCGAGTTTCAGGGCGGCGAGCGTCTTGTGCCATCCCAAATGTATCAGCCATTCATGAATGGCGACGACAAGCCTGCTTCTGAGGCATGTAGGCACCACGATGTTATAACGCTGCAGCCCGCCGTCTAAACACATCAGCAAGCCCCCCTTGAGGACCACTGGAGCGACCTTGCGCCGGCCCACGACATCCCCTGGTACCTCAACCCGGCGGTGCAATTTCAGGAGGGAAGCATCTTCGCTCTGGAGGCGCCCCCACTCCGAGTGGGACAACTCTAAGACAGCATCACAAGGGACGGGGGTCTTGGGGGAGTGCATCGATGCTGCCGCAACAATGGGAGCAGGTGACTGCACCTCTGGAGACTTGCACCGAAGCGGACCCAACAAGCAGGCACAACGGACGTCAGAGAGAAGCCGCGACAACGCATTGGCGTTAGTGTGCCGAGCCCCTCTATGATGCGACACCCGGAAGGAGTAATCCTGAAGGATTTCCAACCAGCGCGACAACTGTCCCGAAGGCTGGTCAACACGCAACGCGTATTGTAAGGCGGCATGATTGGAGCGCACCCCAAACGTCCTTCCATTTAAATAGGGTCGGTACTGCTGCACGAAAAAAACAATTGCGAGCAGCTCCCTCTGCATTACACAATAACGCTGCTCAGCCGGCGAGAGCACCCTGCTCCCGTACGCCACCACCCTCTCGACACCGTTAACCATCTGCGACAACACAGCACCAATGACTGTATTGCTGGCATTGGTGTCTAGGATGAAGGGTAGGGAGAAATCTGGGTACCGCAGGGGAGGGGCGTGCACCAACCCGTCCCGGAGAGCAACGAAGGCGGCCTCCTCCTCCATGCCCCAATGAAATTTCTGCCCTTTCGCCATGAGTGCGTGGAGAGGCAATATATAAAAAATCAATTCTGAAACAATGGTGACGGAGGCGCCGGAGTCAGTGAGGATCCGCACATAAATTCCCTGAATGGTACCGACGACCGTAGATGACCCGACGGCCGTGGCCACGACTCGACGGGATAACTGCGACCACTGTGCGTGCCCGAAGTCCCAATTCTCACTCGACGCGGCGTAACCCCCGCGCGGCACGATCCGACGCGAAGGAGTAACGACCGTACACGAATCAACACGATCGAAAAATGGGTGAGGTGGGAACGAGGGCCGAATGTGTGGTGCACCGCGACTCGCCTGGGGACCCTTTGAAGCCGAAGAAAGGTGAGGAGACGAGGACGACTACCCAGGGCGTCCTCGACATGGCGACCGGCACTCCACAGCGACGTGTCCCGGCCGCCCGCAGTTAAAGCAGATGCTGCGAGTGGAGCCCTATCAGGGAGGCAAATGTGGAAGACGGTCGTGCGTCCCTTGGCGCTCGGCAGCACGCCTCTGGCTCCCGGCGCCGCGCACGGTGGCGCAAACAGGGGCGGACTCGTCCTCCTCGGACGTCCCACCTTCCGGTGTAGCACAAGCCACGAGGCCTGAGCGCTTCTTCAACCCGAGGTGGGACTGGATACATCGCGTGATCACGAGGGATGTCGGATCATCGTCCTCGGACGCGGGCAGGGCGACGTTCAGCTCCTTAGCCAGCCCCAACAACAGGTCCATCACCAGGGAGTCGACACCTGTTGGCTGAAGTTTCGGGAACGCGGCCTGAGCCAGCGACAAGAGGGCACTTCTGAAGGCGAGGAGCGACTCGGATTCCTCCCGCCGTCATTCCACGAACCTGTTCCGGACAGTGAACGGCAGGTCGTAAATGGTGGCCATCTCCTTGAAGGCCAACGCCAGTGTGGAGCGCCGTGTAGGTGGAATGGTGCAAAAATCCCCCAACACGTCATCCAGACACGTGGGAGTGCCTTCAATGCTTCCTCGTCAGTCCCCTCCCAATCCTCGCCAGCCGCTGTGAACTCTCGCATGAAGGGGAGTCGGCGATGCAGCGCAGGGACGTCCCGCTGCATGGCTGGTGGGTGAGCAAAAATGGCGGCCTCCTCGCCGTGTGTTCCCACCAAAATGGCTGCCGCGTGGCCCGCTGGCATGGCGGGAAATTCACGTGACCGGACCACAGCCGTGGCAGCGGCATCGCCACATGGTCCCGGCCCCGGCTCCTCTGTCGATGGCTAGCCGACGTCGAGTTTGGCGACCAGCTCTGCCGCGGCACCCAGCAACTCCGCTAGGCGGACGCTTGTCTTCCGGCGATCGTCGGCCAGAGACGGGTTCGCTGGTCGGACCGCACCGCGCTGCTCCACCGCCGGTGTCACGTCGGCTGTGCTCTCCGGGGCTGCCATCCCCGGGGCTGTCGGCAGGACGAGAGCTCCATCGTCGTCCTCCTCTCCCAAGAAGTGCCTCGCAGGTTGCCTATGGCGTGTGGTCATTGCACCTTAACTTTTGCCACTTCTGGCACCATATGTAATGGGCTCAAAATATGTGCACACAACGTCTTGGGAGGCAACACTATTTATTAACTCAACTTACACTTAACATGGGGTGGTGACCACCGACCTATTCTAACTAACACACATCATCACTCACTAACACGGACTCTCAGATACAACTAGCGTGACCCAGCCAGAAAGGCTACTGGCTAGTCCGCTGACTGGAGGCTTGACTCTTCTTCACGAGGCGTCTTCACAATGCATCTTCTCTCTTGACACGAGCAGCCCTGAACCCGGTGAAGAATCCGCTTATATCCGCCTTGGCGTGTCCGGGCCACACCCCGACCGCGCCCACCTTCGAGAACTCTTAAGAAGCTCCTCTGCTGTCCACGTGGCCCCCAAGGTGGCCCCGGGGCCCCCTGACCCACCTTGATATGGTAACGTGTCCAGCCGGGTTCATTCCGAGTGTCACGGCCTCACGCAACCCCCGTGGCCCTCACCCACGGCCACCAGATCCCCTGAACCGGCCCTGACGTCATTCCTGCCTCCAGATGGGATGACGTCATGTGTGTGTGTAATCGAGATTTGAAGTTTTCGTGACTGCAGGGATCCATACTTTTTGGTTCTTTCAGTAAAGTCACGTAGGTATAAAGAAGAATAAATTAAATCACGACATTTTAGGCGCAACACAAGCGTCCGTCATCAGGTGGGACAACCACAGCAAGAAACAACTGCTGAAGTGGGGGGGGGGGGGGCAGGGAGGAGAGACAGAAGGGGGGGAGTTTGGGGTAGGAGGAGTGGAGGGCTGCCGAGTGAAGAGCAGCTAGAAGGGATCAAAGGGCAAACGCAAAAGCAAAAGGAGATGCGGATATGAAGGAAACACGATAAAGCATTTAAGTTTTTACCTGGTTAATAACGTCCTTCCAGTAATTGCTCAATTTGTATCCATCTTCTCGGTTGAAGTTTTGTCTGCTTATATATCTGGATGGCTTCATGAAGAAACCTTAGATAGTAGCCTGACGGTTTGCAAAGTACCTTGGTCTCGGAAAAATACAATATCATGAGAGCCTACAGCATTATAGCAGTGGTCAGCCACAGTGGAGTTAGTTCTACCATGTTTCAGGTCTGACTTGTGCTCGCGAACACGGTCTGATATATGTCGTTTTGTTTCCCCAATGTAACAATCACCACAAGTGCAACTTAGTTTGTAGACTCCAGGATATTGCATGTCAGGAATGAAATCCTTCACAGATGGGATTAGATCACGGATTTTGTGTACTGTATTGAATCGGACCTGGATCTTGTGTTTGTTTAAGATTTTGGAAATATTTTTGGTGACGCCTGCTATGTATGGTAATGTGATGGTTTTGGTCGGCGTCTCAGGGGGTTGTTTCTCCATGGTTGGAGAAATAGCTTTGCGAATAATGCGGTCCAAATATCCATTCATATTATGGGCCTGGTGTATGTATTCCAGTTCACTGGCAAGGTGGTGTTGGTCGGAAATGCAGTGGGCCCTATGGTGTAGTGTTTTGATGAGGGAATTCTTCTGTGCCGGATGGTGACGTCATAAATGTGCGTGTGTGTGTGTACACAGTAATGACGCTACAAGTCACTACATAACCATGGGGAGAACAAACTCCAAATATTCAGGTGTCAGGGTCGGGATCAAAACCACGTCACTGCTGTACGCCAGGCAAGTTACATTAACATCTTGCGGCGCCTTTCCCCCCCACTACTCAGAGCCCCACCCACTGCTCAGGTAGCCCCGCCCACGACTCAGGTGGTTCCACAGGCTTTGGCTCCTGCGTGTGCTAAGCCAAGTATATGTATGCAGAACTTATTTCGCACCAAACGTTGCAACCGTGCTCATCGGAGGTGTGGGGGAATGACAACTAAACACAAAATGATCCAGGAGGCGTTTGAGCTCCTCGTAAAATTGGTTCCCTGCAGCGCTTGCTCACCCAGTATCCATCACTGCACAGGGGCCGCTGCAGCCTGGAGATGGGACCGTCACTGTGGAGGGGTCTGTGTGGAGTGGGGGTGAGAGGGGGCGCTCAGAGAGTGAGTGGAGTCTCCCCTGGTGACGTCTCTCACAGAAACAAGTGGGAGAGGAGACGCTGGCGGTGGAGGAGAAGAGGAGGAAGGCGAAGGAGTCCATAAAGCGGATGGAGGCCGCTCGCAGGGACGTGCAGGTACCACATCTGGGCCGGACTGTGACCTCGTGACTCCACCCTGAGTAGGGGTTGTGATGGAGGACAACTCCATTCATTCACGTGGACTTCCATTGGCTCTGAACACATCGTGGGACTAAAGACACAACGGTCAATGTGCCTCAATACCCAGGACGAGCAAATAAGTGGTTGTCATCTCCAATGAGGAACTGGATCAGTCGTAAAAATTCCACATTCTTAGGATGGGAGACCAATATCCCCATGTGAACTGCCACTTCATCTTCTGTTACATATCTGTCTATTCTGGCCAGATGAGGTGGCACATACCTGTTATCCAGTACATTGGTGGCAGGGTTCACATTATATATGTTTACAATATGTATCGCATTGTGCTATGAACCCAAGTCACCTGAGATCATCTCCCAGCGATGACTAACATCAGTAGCGAGAAATATCTGTAAAGCCATAACCACGCAATACACTGAATGCACGCAGTGTGCTTTGTACAATGTGCATATTCACGTAACCTTTTCACAAAGTACACTCCCATTCAGTATACTGAAATGTGCTATGTGAGCATAAAAGTTAATTTGAATTAAAAAGAGTATCCAACAAAGCACAGAGACACTTCGAGGTAAGGTCACCAAGTTGCACGTCCATTCTCAACGGTGCACCGATTTTATCACTGCCCAGTCACGAAACCCAGCTCTCGTGTTTAGTCCCAGCTGGGCTTGTTTTGTGGTAGGAATACAGCTTGGAAGCGTTGCTGAACAGGCAGCTTTAATTATGACCTTTTGCTTTTTCAATCTGCTCGCATTACACACACCTTGCACAACTATCCGAAAAGATGGGGTTCATATTTAATTAGTATTTAAATTCCTTATTTTTCTCAGATTTGTGATGTAATATTTGCGATTGAGTCCTGTGTAATTTGCAGGGTTATGATAGATGACAATTGTATTGTTCATTGGCTACCGAGGCTGTGATGCACAGGAGGGGTTCATCCTCCATCAGGTCACCGGGGTTACAGGTCAAAACGTCTCCCATTGTGTGGGTTGCATGGCCACAGTGGCAATACTGTGGATTTACGTTAATGCATCTCTATGGGTCTCGATGGGTCTCTATGTATCTCTGAGTGTCTCCTTGGGTTTAGTATACAGTCCATAGTTTGGGTTGTCTGACCAGTCACACTGCCCTAAATTGACTCAAATGGGTCGATATGCATCTATATTTGTCTTCATGTGTCTCTGTTTCTCTATGGGTCTCTATATCTGAGTATTTATGTATCTCTATGGATCGCGAGGTTTATCTATGGGTCGCTATAGGTTTACTTTATTGCCCATAGTTTGCGTTGTGTGGCCACATACGCTTTCCATTTATGATTCAGGAAAGAGAGGTGTAAACGCCACCTCCCTAAGACTTAGATCAACCATTGCGAGATTAACTCCTTTGTTAATTATTTAATAAAACCAAATCACACGCCCTGTCAGGGATCGATGACCGGGGTGAGGCAGCGAATCAATGGCGAGTTCGCCCGCATGAGAGCAGCTCTGGACGAGGACGAGAAGGCGGCTCTGGCTCGTGCGTCCATGAAGGAGCGCGAGCTGCTGACCCAGATCGAGAAGAACATCGCTCACTTCCAGCACGAGATCGGCGAGCTCCAGGCAGCAGCCACTCGTCTGGAGGGCCTAGTGCAGGAGAGGGACTCGCTCGCCTTCCTGCAGGTGAGCGATGAGTCTCCGGTGTCGCTATTTGTACAGAGCCCTCGGCAGCGTCAGAGTTGAGGCTCCTGAATGAGGTTTTCACATCGACTGCGCTTTGTCACGCACAGCCTGAGCTTCTGCCCGGTCCTTGCATTGTAACTCAGTATTGGTGCTCATGAGGTCATAAGCCAAGACTTTATGGTGTATATTCCACCCGCGGTGTTGCAGTGGGAAATCCACTGATCCCATGGGAATGGAGGCAGAGTCACAGTAATGCACATCTCTCTCCCACAGGGGCACCTGGAGGAGACGCGCAGGTACAGACGACTTTCACGCACGTCTCGACACACGACAACATGGGACTGAGTGCGAGGCGTGGGCAGTGAGACACTGGCTGTGTGTCGGGATGCTGTGTGTGTGATGATGCTGGGAGTGGTGGTGCTGATTGTGATGATGCTGGGGGTGATCATGCTGTATGTTGTGATGCTGTGAATGATTGTGATGTGAGTCGTGATGCTTTGTGTGATGTGTCTATGTGATGGAGCTGTGATGATCCTGTGAGTGATGTTAATCTATGTGTGAAAGTGGCCGTGTCTGATCTGCTTTCACAGGACATGGTGGGCTACAGCAGCTCCACCCTCAGCTCCCAGCCAAGAGGACATTGCCTCGCTTAAACGCACCGAGGAAACTGTGACCAAATTTCTGTGTGAGTTCTTCAGTGTGAAACATGGGTGATGGGGCCATCTTCACAATAAATGATCACCGTGTGTGTGTGCACGAGGTCGATTCAGCCTAAAATAATTACCTGGAGTTGTGTAAACATCACCACTAGGGAGACAAAGGTGACCAGGGGTAGTCCTGGCAAACCCAGCCCCTTATGTGTCGTGCCAGCTTTCAAAGGTGCTGATTTGCCCCGACAGTCTGTTAAGGCAACAACGGGAATATGTATCTTTGTTCACATCATGGAACTTGATGCGATGTGAAGAAAATCGCCACTAGAGAGACAAAGGTGGTCGGGCGTGGTGCTGGCCACCCACCTCCTCATGTGCCCTGCTGGTCATCATAGATGCTCGCTAACAGCACTTGCCCCAATGATCTGTTGAGGCTACACAGGGGATCTTAGTCTTTGTTCACAGCCCATTTCAGGACCCTACTGAACACAGCCACGAGACTCAGTGTGGCGTTCTTGTGTAAATAATCAGCATTACGAGTCAGGGGTAATTGTTATGTTGAAGTGGAGTGTGTGCCTGTGAATGTGTCTGTGCATTTGTGCGTGGGGGGAGTGGTGGCATAGTGGTTAGCACACTGCACTACGAACCCAGTTACCTGGGTTTGATTACCCGCCATGGCTAACATCAGTGGCAGGTTTTATCTGATCCAGTCCTCGGCCTCTGCTAGGCAGTTTCAACCTCAAATGAGTTGCTGATGCTGGTAATGGTCATAATGATGGTGATAGTGATCATGATGAGGATGGTGGCAATGACAGTGGTGCATCGGCCAGTCATCTCAGTCGACCAATGGCACCTGGGACTACCCCATGACCTCCTGCCAGTGGGCGTTCTACACTTCACGTGGCCTCAACGTGCACGTAGCCTGGCACAAGTGCTGTGGTGACGTCACTGCCACTTAGTAGCAAATGGCAGTTGTTGTTGCTGTTGGTAATTATCTTGATGTTGGTGACGTGAGTGATGGGAATGGTGATGATATTGGTGAGTGATGGTGTTGGTCGTGGTGATGGCAGTGATGGTCGTGGTGATGGTAATGATGGTGATGGTTGTGATGGTTTTGCTGACGGCACAGTAGTAATGATATTGGTTATGGTGGTTATAATGATGTTTTTTGGGTTGGTGATGAAGATGTTAGAGATGGTGGTGATGGGGATAGTGGTGATGGTCCAGATGATGGTCGTGATGGTGGTGATTATTTGTGATGGTGCTAGTGGTGGTGATGATGGTTGTGATGTTGTTAATAGTGATGATGTTGATGTTCATAGTGGTGGTGATGGTGATGTATATGTTGTTGTTATTGATATTGATGGCGAGAATGGTTGGCGATGGTGATGTTATTGTTGATGGTGAAGATGGTTGGTGATGTTGATGATGGATGATGACGGTTGTTTGTAGTGATGTTGTCATCGCTGTCATCACAGACGGACGCTCACCGACTCTGGACACAATCTCAGCTTATGACCAACTCCAGATCTCCTCGGATCTCAGGACAGTGACGCGGACCAGTGACTTCCAGGATCGCCCCGATCACCCACACCGGTTTGATTGCTGTGCACAAGCCCTGTGCTGTGAGAGCTTCTCGTCGGGCCACCACTACTGGGAGGTGGACGTGGGGGACGCGGAGTCGTGGCGGGTTGGAGTCACGTACGGGACTATCCCACGGAAAGGGGGTGGTGTTGCACAGCTGCTGGGAGGGAGCGACACGTCCTGGTGTTTAGAGAAATATGACGACAGCTTCTCAGTGTTTCATGGTGGAGTGAAGACTGCACTGTCAGTTAGGGGGGCCCCCTTCCTCCGCAGAATCGGGCTTCACCTGCACTGGGAGGGGGGGCTCCTGGCGTTTTACCGCGCCGACTCCATGGAGGTGATCCACAAGGTTCGGCAGAGATTCTTGCAGCCTCTCTACCCTGGGATGTGGGTGGTGTATTGCAATGATCGATTGAAGATCGTGGATCTGAGTCGTGCATGCTGAGGTTGCGGAGAGATAGAAATCCAAGAAACCGAGACAGAAACCCAAGAAAAAGAGAGGGGGGATGGTGAGAAGAGGGTGAGGTGAGCGTGGAAGGGTAAAGTGAGGGGGGAGGGTGAGGGTCAGGTTGGCGTGCATGAACGATGTCGCTGGTGCAGTAAAAATCGCAGGTTCGTGTGGCCGCTCCTTCAGCTGCAGTGCGCGCTCGCGTCACCACGCCTCCTCATCCCTGCGATTCACCACCATCACCAACATCATCATCATCACCCTATTATCATGACTGTCATCATCACCATCAATACCACCAGCATCATAATCATCATCACCATCATTACCAACAGCATCACCAACATCATCATCGCCATCATCATTACTATCAACACCACCAAAACCATCATAATCACAATCACCAACATCATCACCACCATCATTACTATCATCATAACCATCACCCCATCATCATCACTATAATCAGCAACATCATCATCAACATCATTATCCCCATCATCACCACTACCACGAACAACACCATCACCACCATCAACCCACCATCAACACCACAATAATTATCACCATTATGACGTCCATTACCATCATCATAATCATTACCTATCATCACCACTATCAACATCACCATCATTATGACCATCATCACCATAACCATCATCACCACTATTAATATCATCACCACCATCATCACAATCACTGTCATCACCACCGTCAAAATTACCATCACAATCACTGTCATCACCACCGTCAAATTTACCATCAGCATCATCACGACCACCATCAAGCTCATCACCATCAATACCACGACTAACACCACGACCATTATCACCACCATCATCATTGCCACCACCATGATCACCACCATCATTATCATCATCACTATCAGCACCCACATCACCATCACCATTCTTCCAACCACCATCACAATAATCACAATCATCACCATCATTACGATCATCAACACCACAAAAACGGCCATAATCATCACCATTATCACATCCACCATCACGACCATCATCACCATTATCATCACTATCATCCTCACCGTGAAAACCACCATCACCATCACGACCATTACCACCATCTTCCTCAGCACCATCATTATTACCACCACTGTCATCACCACCACCATCATGATCACCACCATCATTATCATCATTGAGTATCACTGCCCACATCACCACCACGATTATCACCATTCTTACTATAATCATCACAACCATCACCACCGTCATCATCACCACCATCACTACCATCATTACTACCATGATCAACACCACTACCATCATCACCATTTCACCATTATTACCACCACTATCACCATCATCATGGTAACGTCTCTGTAACGTATTTGTAGCTCGGGCTGTTATTTTCGTTTGTTGTGTTTAACCGGGGCGATAACTCAAGACACCAGGATAGGAGTCTAATTTGTAAGAGTGAGTGGCATGGGGAGCGAGTGCTTGGGTGAGTAAGTAGATAAGTAACAGAGATTATGGGTGATTGAATGATTGAGTGAAGGCATGGTTGATTGGGTGAGATGGTGGGTGAGTGAGTAGGTGGGTAGACGTGGGAGATGGTTTGTGGGTGAGTGAGTGAGTGAATGGGTCAGTGGATCGGTGGCGTGTTTGAGTAAGTGAGAGAGTATGTGATTGGGTAAATTGTTGAGTGCATGAGTGAGTAGATTAGTGAGTGATCGATTGAGTGCATGGGTGATTGAGATGGTGGGTGAGTGAGTGGCTGAGTGGGTCAGTGGTTAAGTGAGTGAGTGAGAGGGTAGGTGAGTGGTAAATGATTGAGTGAGTGAGTTCAAGTGTATCGTCTGTAACCGGGTGTAGAACTCGAGAGACCAGTACAGGAGTCTCATTTGCAAGAGTGACCTGGGGCTGGGGGGGAATCTCCAAAATAACAAAAACGACAACGTAAGCACAGGGAACAATAACGAAGCGAAGATAAATTAGCGGAAAAAAACAAACAACAACCACCGCCGTTTTACAGACGAAACCGAAAACAAAACAGCGCCCTGAACAAACTCCCAATACTGCAAGGGTGAAGACAGCGTCTGTACCTCCAACTCACAGTCGTGTCCACGTGTTGGGGGACGATCTCGTCTACCCAGGGCCACCCGTCACGGTGTCCAACGCGACGTAACGACGATTCCCACAAACAACTCCCAACAGCCCACTCCTCCCGCACCCCCCCCCCCCCCCCACGGTTCCTGGGTTTGTCGTCTTAAAAGTGGACCTGTAGCCGCTGCAAGCTGCGCAGGGCATAATGTGTTCAAAGCGGCTAACCCGACGGATCATCTGGGCAGCTGCATTCTGCACTAACTGGAGCCTTTGCACTAATCCAAGTGGAAGCTCTGCATAGATAATCCAGGCGTGTTGAGACAAACGCATGAACTAATGATTACAGGTCTGGGGTAGAGAAGATCGAGCCCAACCTTCGGAGTATTTGTAGGTGGTAGAGATCTACTCTGACCGTAGCTATGAGCTGCAAGCGCACGGTCAAGCTCTGATCAAACGGCACACCGAGGTTGCCTACTTTGGACACAAGGGGAGGGCGAGCTCTCCTAATCAGTGGAGGATCGATGTGGCCCTGCCACGCTCACAGACGCTGCTCTGAGCCAACTATCATGTACTCTGTCTTGCTCAGGTTTAGCTGCAGCCAGTTTTGCTTCAGACAAGCATTCTGAAATAGTATATAACTACAATTTGCAATCGTATATTACTTCCTACCGATTTTTCAACACTAAATGCAAGCATGGGCAAGGCAGGAACACAACAACAGTCCCAGATCACACCAAGACAACACGGCAGTCCCGGGATACAACTGCACACGAATATCGAACTATTGATACGTGGGTATGGATCAAAGTTCCAATCACATTTGCAAATGAGGCTGTGTACAGCATGAATCTTCTGCTTCAGACATTTATAGAAGGAAGATTTATGATGTTAAGGGAAGAAACAAGGTTGTTCCAAAACGTTGGTGCCGCAATGGCAAAGGCCTTGTCACCCATTCCAATTCTCATTGTTGGGATAGTTAACAGGCAAATAGATGTACGTCTTCGGTTTCTTTGGTTTGACAGTGGGGTTTATGATTTAGATAAAGCACAGATTTGGCAATAAGGGTTTTATGGATGAACAGTGCCCAATGTAGATTTCGTTTAGCATCAAGTGATGTGAGATGGTATTTGAAGTCGAGGTCACATTTGTGGGTGCTGTATGATACATCCAAAAAAAATCCAAGATCAGAATGATGAATGGTGTTTAGTCTGTTAAGTGTTAGATTAGTAGTTGATGTATACGCAGCATCACCATAGCGAGATGCATTTCTGAGATCATTTTATCGTACAGTCTGTCTTGTGAGTAGAAAATCGTGGTCAAGAGTTTCAAAAGGCTTTTGACGAGGATACAATGCCACGTTACAGACAGGAATGCCGATTTGTCGTTAATTTAAGTGGCACAGCCGATGGTGCTGTACCTCGACACATCTATCACTTCTCCTGCCCAAAGGAGACAAACTTAACCCACGATTCATCAACTCGCTTAACAATAACCCTGGAATATGCTCTCACACAGCAGAGAATGGGGAAGATAAGGAGGTGTAAATTTCGATTTAAAGAGAAATAATAAAACAATAACATTTTCACGACGTATCGTTTGCAACACAAGCAATCGTCATCAGGTGTGAAAACTACAGCAAGAAACGTCGTGAGAAATGTATTATTTTATTATTTCCCTTCTACGTGGTGATGTTAAAGGGAGACAAAGGCGGCCGCGCGTGGTACTGCCCACCCACCCCCACTCCTCGTGTGCCGTGCCGGCCTTCATAGGTGCTACTCACTAACAGCACTTGGCTCAGCAGAAGTGTGCTAAGGCTGTACGGGGATATTTGTGAATACCTCTACAGTCTTGTCATCTCCCACAGCTACGAAATTACGTAGCCATCTCTGCAATCATATTTAGTCAGCTGGGAAGAATAAGACGGAGTTCATTCGCAAATCAGTGGGGTATCTCTCAATGGATCGACCTGTATTAGGGTGATTTCTCAAGGTTGTGGTTTATATTTTAAAAAGGTGGTTTCAGGTGTTGGTGGTTTGTGGTCAATGCAGGAATGAACGCTTTGTTACAATGTGGCTTTTTATTAAATGGTGTATGGGCAACTACACGAGGTTATTTTGTTTTAGCCAAATGAGAGTGAGTAAGTGGGTGCGTGAGATGGTGAGTAATTAAATCAGTGAGTGGGTGAGTGTAAAATGACACAATGTGTGTGAGATGGTGCATGAATGAGTGATATGGTCGGTGAGTAAATCGATGGGTGCGTGAGATGGTGGGTTAGTAGGATGGTGTGGTGAGTTTAGGGCGATGTATGAGAGGTGAGTTAGCATGAAATATGTTGAGATAAGATGACGTGAATTGAGATGAGGTGAATTGAGGTGAGATGAGGTGTATGAAGATGAGATGAGATGAGTTGTCATGTAAGTTGAGATGGACTTTGACCAACCACCCCTAGCGCTCACACGTCAGCACCTTTCAAACCGTAAGAACCAAACAGTGCAGTACTTTATGATGACAAAAACGACAAATGCACGCATTACACCGTGATCACGGGACTCCGGGAGGAGACCATCGACGACTGCCGGTCCGGCGGCTCCGAGACCTCAGACTGCAGCTGCGCCAAGCTGTTCAACGTGCGGTCGGAGGTGCCGGCCAAGTACAAACACCGTCTTTTTGAGTGCAAACTTCTAGAGCGCAGTTGTCAGTGCAAAACAAGACACCCCCTGCTGGGTGCTGGGAATCCTTGAGGCTGCAAACGACTTCACTGCAGATTCGTGTATCCCGGGTTCATGCTGCCTCAAGGCCGTAGCCATGGAGTCAACATTGGGGGGGACCAAATCTTCCAGGGGGTCTGGGGGTCACCCCCTCAGAAAAAAAATCTAAATTTGAAAACAAATTTCCTGCCTAAAATATAAAAAAAAATCACTAACACATAGGATGGACTTTTTATTAATTGTTTACAATGTCTAATAGTGTATTGTATGACATTGCTGTTTTTTTCCTTTTTACCTTTTCTTGTTTCATTGTATGTAATGGCAGACATTAGGGATTAATAAAGTACAAGCATAACTAGAATCATATAAACAGAAATCTATTTAATAGCAATATATTGGGGGGGGGGGGGGGGGCATTTTGAGAATATTTTAATATTGCATGTGTAGTGTTGTAAATAACAGATGAATAAACTCCTTTAAGGCACACACTGGTTTACTGTCTTTCTTCTGACACAGTCCCAACACACACTGAGGGATATACGGTTCCCTCACCCGTAGCCTCAGGAGGTACAGCCTCCGTACCTGGCGGGACCTATACACAGTTCTGACTGCTAGCCTAGAGAGGTACAGCCTCCGAACTGCGGGAGCTATTCTCAGTTACCCACTACCCTAGCATCCTCCGGCTGGGACCTTGGGGAGACTAACTTGACCCACCGCTGGCTCGGTGGGTCCCCTGACCACTGGTCGCGCAGAGCCTTAGGTCTTAGAAGAGCTGGAAGGCTGGGGAGCCAGGGTCCTGCCTGCCAGGACCTATTCTCCCCTTGACCGCTGGAACACTGAGCCTTAGCTCTTATAAGAGCTGGAAGGCTTGGTCCAGGGTCCTAGCTTCTTCAGCCGGGCTTCGGTCTTCGTGTGAGGAGAACTGGCGGGCGCTACCTGCGCACGCCCTTTTATACCCGTTTGTAACGGTCCTTATCCAATCCCACGCTCCCTCGTGGAACCCTCTGATTGGTTCTTTACAATCCGTGGTTTCGATCCTCTTTACCTCATCTGACCCTTGGCCGTTGGTCTGGCGGGAATCCGTGTTTACGATCCGCACTCACCTCTCCCTGACGACAACCGTTGGTCCCAGAGCGGTAACACTGCATTGCCCCTCTGATACATAGTGGCCCCGCAGGTTACCGAATAAAGTGTGTCTAGCACCTCTACACATGTGTCCCCCCCCCCCCAATATATATTACTAGCACTAAGTACCCGGCGTTGCCCAGATCTTACAAATATTTCTAAACTACGTAAAAAAAAATCGAACAGCAGTGCGTACTGACTGTGGTGGTACCTGCTATGATTACAGCAGTGCATACCGACTGTGGTGGTACCTGCTATCACGACAGTAATACATGCTGACTCTATATCAGTATTTATCGACTGTATAGCACAAAGTACTCACCTGACAGAGTGGCGTGGTGAGGCAGAGCCTCCGGCCTCGCCTAGATTGTCCAGCCAGCCGAGGTGACACCTTGGCAGGCTGGGGCTGGGCTGCTTCCCCTGCCCTGCCCCCCCGCAGCCATGATCTCCCCGGCCACTCTGCAGTTATATCTACGGCCTATAGTGGTAGCATCTAGCGACGGTATAGTAGTAATAACTACACGCATCGGGGTGGGGGGGACATCACACAATGAAGAATTTACGTGAGCGTTTAGTGTATTTTATAGCATTTTTAACACTAAAGGAAATGTCCCCCGCACTCCCACCGAAGGCGTGCGACTTGGCATGGGCCGTTCCCCCCCACCAAAGGCGCGTGAGTTGGTATGGTTGTGCAGGCGTCATGAATAAATAAATAAAATGAAAGCGGCCAAAAATCCCACTAAATCGCTAATTAAACTAATTTAAAGTTCTTCTTGGTTCTTTCGGTAAAGTCACGTAGAAGGGAAGCAATGAAATAATAAAAATAAAACATAATAAAATAATTCTCACGACGTTTCGGCCACAACGCAAGCAGCCGTCCTCATTCTTCACCTGAGGACGGCTGCTTGCGTTGTGGCCGAAACGTCGTGAGAATTATTTTATTTTATTATGTTTTATTTTTATTATTTTATTGCTTCCCTTCTACGTGACTTTACCGAAAGAACCAAGAAGATGGATCCCTGCAGTCACGAAAGCTTTAAATCGAAATTTAATTTAAAGTTGACGGATGTAAAAAAGGAACAGCGCTTGCTGCCCGGGGGGCTTACGGCGTGGTAACTGGCTATTTTTTTGACAAAAAACCCCACCGTTGGAGAGTCAAGCACGCAACCACATACAAACCCACAATTTTTTACTTTTATATATAAAATAAAATAAAAATAAAAAGATAGATAAATATCGATTTAAAGCTTTCGTGACTGCAGGGATTCATCTTCTTGGTTCTTTCGGTAAAGTCACGTAGAAGGGAAGTAATAAAATAATAAAAATAAAACATAATAAAACAATTCTCACGACGTTTCGGCCACAACGCAAGCAGCCGTCCTCAGGTGAAAACCAGGTCCGTCGAGGCGACAGAGTCTGAATGAAACAGCACACGGGCTTGGAGCATATATATAAGCTGGGCGCATTGACAAAGGAATTTGCATATCAACAGGAATTTAGCATATTTATGGGAAATGCAGGAATGTAATTAGTACTGCATATGCATGTGCATTATGCAGGATTAACAGCATCAAAGGGAGCTGCAGTTACTGCTGCTGCAGCAGTTGCTGCTGCTGCTGCAGTTTCTGCTGCTGCTGCAGTTGCTGCTGCTGCTGCACTTGCTGCTGCTGCTGCACTTGCTGCTGCTGCTGCACTTGCTGCTGCTGCTGCACTTGCTGCTGCTGCTGCACTTGCTGCTGCTGCTGCAGTTGCTGCCTTATCCATTTTAATATAACACTATGTATTATTCTACCCACCCTAATGTGTATCATACTGCTATATGTTTACTGTACAATTACGACCCCATACATTACTCTGCACACTGCACCATGCCAGTGAGTGGAACGCGGTCTGAAAGTCACCGACGGACCTGGTTTTCACCTGAGGACGGCTGCTTGCGTTGTGGCCGAAACGTCGTGAGAATTGTTTTATTATGTTTTATTTTTATTATTTTATTACTTCCCTTCTACGTGACTTTACCGAAAGAACCAAGAAGATAGATAAATAATTACGGCCTTGTGCTGCCTCATCCCTTCACCCAAGAGTGGAGCGAGCGTGAGGGTTTGTACGACGATCTCCGCGCTATATTCTTGGTTCTTTCGGTAAAGTCACGTAGTAGGGAAATAATAAAATAATAAAAAATGTTTTGTTTTATATAAAAAATATAAAACAATTGTTTTATATTTTATCATTAAATCAAAAATATATAAAATCAATTGCTTTATATAAAAATATAAAACAATAAATTGTAAAAAATATAAAACAATAAATTGTTTTATATTTTTATATAAAGCAATTGATTTAATATATTTTTTATTTAATGATAAAATATAAAACAATTCTTTTATATTTTTATTATTTAATAATACTAAAATAAATTGTTTTATATTTTTAATATAAAAGAAATAGTTTAATATTTTTATTATTTTATTATTTCCCAACTACGTGACTTTACCGAAAGAACCAAGAATATGAATCCCTGCAGTCACGAAAGCTTTAAATCAAAGTTCAAGATCTCCGCGCTCTCTGCAAGTTTTATTGTCACGGAGCTCTGCTGTTGTCATCACAGGGGGCGCTGCGTAGCGTCAATTACAGCACATTCACACGTCGCGTTTGCTTGTAATCATACGCACACTTACACACGAGTTGTTAGAATCATGTAAGCTACGTAACTACGTTATTCTGAATGCTTAAATATACATATTAAACATTTAAGATGATTTTAAAGACTTTTATAGCTTTAAATACTAGATTTATTTACTTGAGATTTTAAGTTTTCGTGACTGCAAGGATCCATACTCTTTGGTTTTTTCGGTAAAGTGACCGTAGGTGGAAAAATAATACAAAAAAAAATTGAAATAATTAAATTTTTGTTATTTCTATTTTTTCACGTGACTTTACCAAAAGAACAAAGAGTATGGATTTATTTACGTCAATAATGTAATACAGCATTTTTACATATCATAACTACTTTTGATTCAAGTCACACTTACAAACGAGTTTTGAGAATAACCTAAGCTATGTAACTATGTTGCTATAAATGTCAACATTCGCAGCTTAAATCCAAAATACGTTATTAAAGATTTACCTCAGAATGCTACAGAGTTGTGTTACATTCTTAATCACGTAACTCTACCTGGACAAGTTGTCACCTTACACCACTGTTCCCTACCTCACAGCACAGTAAATGTAATCAGCACAGTGACTTTACCTCACGTGCCTGTACGCAAGAAGTAAAACTTTTACCTCAGCCCGTGTCTCACCGCCTCGCTGCTTAGCAACATCACTGCCGCCAATCTGATGTTGGTTTCCCGCCAAAATCAGGGGTCAGGGGGCAGGTGGGCGGGGCCTGAGGGCAGGTGGGCGGGGCCTGAGGGCAGGTGGGCGGGGCCTGAGGGCAGGGCCTGAGGGCAGGTGGGCGGGGCCTGATGGCAGGTGGGCGGGGCCTGAGGGCAGGTGGGCGGAGCCTGAGGGCAGGTGGGCGGGGCCTGAGGGAGGGGGGCGGGGCCTGAGGGCAGGTGGGCGGGGCCTGAGGGCAGGTGGGCGGGGCCTGAGGGCAGGTGGGCAGAGCCTGAGGGCAGGTGGGCGGGGCCTGAGGGAGGGGGGCGGGGCCTGAGGGCAGGTGGGCGGGGCCTGAAGGAGGGGGCGGGGCCTGAGGGAGGGGGGCGGGGCCTGCGGGCAGGTGGGCGGGGCCTGAGGGCAGGTGGGCGGGGCCTGAGGGAGGGGGGCGTGTCCTGCGTGGGTCAGCGCTGAGCTCTGACGAAGCCACCTTTGGGTGTGGATGCAGGTCACAGTGGGAATGCAACGTGAACGTTCGTTGCGATCACAGATCGCGGACGGTCGTCCAACTTCTCTCAATGGAACAACCAAACACAGCCACGGATTATTCTCTCTCTCTCGTGCGCGTATGTGTCAACAGGGGCCGTCCATAAATGACGTCACGCGATTTTGGACGATTATTGACCCCCCCCCTCGTCACACGGCGTCACAAAAAGTCAGACCCCCCCCCTCAAATATGACGTCACAAAGCTCTGCCCCCCCCCCTAAAATCATATTTCCATTTTGAAAATAAAACATGCTTCAAATCGCTTTAAACTATTGTCATTGTAGTGCGTATTTAATGTGACGCTGCACTCTGATGTTGTAGGAGTTATAACAATTAGTGTTGTTATAACAATTCTATATTTTTTTAAGTTGGTATTTTGATTTGACGTCACATTTCTCAAACTCA